CACACACACACACACACTACCACCACGACCACCACAAAATTCACCACCACCACTACAACGACCACCACCACATACAGTACAAGTACAGGAACTCTGCGCCAAAGTTGAATGTTCTCTCAATGGAGCATAGAAATCAATACCACCCCAGACTGCTCACAAGGCGCCTTGCGGTGCCAAAAAACCGTTATTAAACGTCCTGGATTGATGACCAGCCCTTTTCCTATATACAACAGTACACATAGGTTATGTAGTGTGGCCCCGGGGCAATTTATCAAGGTTAGAAGTGGACGTTTTACGACCTGTTTGGATTATGGGAACGCGGGTGTGGGACGCTCGTATTTGGTCGCTTTTAAGCACAAGGGGTATTTCCCAAAAAAACTCTGTTTTGAGAAAATCGAACGTAATGTTTTGCCCCTTGTTCAGTTTCTTTAAAAGAAAAGGAGAGTTTTCTTTCTGATTAAACAATTATACCCACCAATGAAACCAAATTTCTCCTATAGGTAGGGCAATGCCTTCTTTTGGTGCAGGTCAAGATTTCTGGAAACCCCAGAAATCTGGGTTAGCCCGCTTGTTTAAAAGCGACCATATTATATAGAAGTACACATTATAGGTTATGGAGTGTGGCCGCGAGGTAAATTATCAAGGTTAGAAGTGTTCGTTTTACGACCTATTTGGATTATGGGAACGCGGGTGTGGGCTGCTAGTATTTGGTCGCTTTTAAGCACAAGGGAGCTATCCCGAAAAATGCTGTTAGAGAAAATCGAATGAAAGTTTTTGGACCCTTAAATTTGTTTAGTTTCTGTACAAGACAAGGAGAGTTTTCTCTATAACCAAACAAACAAACACACAAATGAAACCAAATTTCTCCTATAGGTAGGACAATGCCTACTTTTGTTGCAGGTCAACATTTCTGGAAACCGCCAAAATCTGGGTTAGCCCGCTTGTTTAAAAGCGACCATGTATAGCAGTATACATTATAGGTTATGGAGTGTGGTCGCGGGGCAATTTATCAAGGTTAGAAGTAAACGTTTTACGACCTGTTTGGATTATTGGAACGCGGGTGTGGGCCGCTAGTATTTGGTCAATTCTAAGGACAAGCGCGCTAACCCAGATTTTGAGGGTTTATAGAATCTTGCCCAACTCCAAAAGTGGGCACTGCCCTACCTAAAGGAGAAGTTTGGTTCATTGTTGTGTATGATTGTTTTTAGTTACAGAGAAAACTCTGCTTGTCTTTTAAAGAAACTGAACAAGGGGCAAAAACTTTACCTTCGATTTTCTCAAAACAGCCTTCTTCGGGATAGCCCCTTTGTGCTTAAAAGCGGCCATTTATTCCTAGCAGCATTTCTCGGGGGGTTTCTTTTAAAAACTGAGGAAGCTTACATTCAAGACGGACGCCGGTGCAAGTTAGTGTTATGGTTACCACAATATGCCCAAGGCCCAGGAAGTTGTCTCACTAACAAGACAATCCCCAATGTCCGGATCGGATGTGGGAACAACTTAACGTTATACTTTAACAATTTGACATCTGTAGAAAATCTACAAATTTGACCCTAGTGTCGATTTTCGACTAATATCTCCTTCTGTGAATTGCGAGAAGTAATTCGTCTTGTCAGCACGCCTAACATTCTTTTGTCTTGGAGTAAGTGCATGAGTTCAACACCCTTTTCAACATTGTCAAGTTGTTTAAGGGGCTGGACCTCGGAAAGTAACATTCCTCTCAGGAAGGGGGGGGGGGGTTGTTGTTTTTTTAGTAAATGTTTTACGGCACTTGCAACACAGTAAGGTCATATAAGTGCTGAAGATTAGAGGTGTTACAAGAGTGTAACAAACATGAAAAAGAAGGAGAGATAAGGAAGATAGATATTTGAGAGGAAAGAAAAAGCAAACCACACCAGAGCACTTGCCAATCACCCACTTATAAAGTTGTTTAAGGGGCATGACCTCAGAATGTAACATTCCTCAATGGAAGGATCAAGCTAAAATGGTTTGAGAGCGTTACAAATTAAATAAAACGACACGAGTTCGAGAACAGTTAGTCAGGTATTCAAACCAGGGCCGTCATCTCCTTTTTTTTGTAAGTGTTTTATGACGCTCGCAACTATTTACGGTCATCTGAGCGCGTGGGACACAATAAACTTTTTCAGTTGGAAGGAAATTTTGAATTTTGCCCTGGTGGCGGCCGAAGCCTGCTCTTATCGATATGGGACCACCAAGGGATCTTTGACGTGCACAACTTGCACACAGGACCTCCGAGATTTTTTGCCCTTGTCCGAGAAGGCTAGGTGTAGATCTTTGTTACCAGAAGATCAGGGGTGTAGCTGAAAGACAGCAGCTGTAAGAATGAGCCAAAAGGAGAAGCAGTGGAAAGGCTGCAGAAAAAGTCAGGAGCCCAGACAGAGGAGAGGGGCCAAGGAGGCGAGGGAGAGGGGGCAGAAAGTGGAGACAAAAGCAGACGACAGAATATTGTAAGAGAGCAGGAAAGAAGTGAAAGTAGACAATTTTAGAGAAAAAAAATGTTTCTGTCGCTACCCAGATTCGAACCCGGGACCTTAGAATGAGAGGCGAAGGCCTTAACCTCTATGCCACGAGAGCCCCCTGGCCGGCATCTCCGTAGTCAAGCATAATACCAAGTGACCCAACAGAGCACACTTAATTTACCCATAAAAAAGTCCACAAGTTTGAATAAGAAAGATAAAGAGCGAGACAACAACGCTTTCGTTGTCAACATCAAAGGGAGCTTAAAATCAAGAACACTGGGGGAAGCCGAAAGTAATGACTCGTGTAACATTAATTAATGACTGCTTCTTTCTGGCTCTGAGTATTGAGCGTTGCAGAGGGTGTCTTCAAAAGGATTTTGCGCAAGAGAAAACAGTGTATGTTCCACGCTTCAGCAGATATTATATTTTATTATAACTCTGCGGAGAGTGGGAAAGAGAGAAGGAGAGAGATATATATATTATTATA